GGGCAACTTGGTGAGACCTCGTCTCTACAATAAATCAAAAAATTAGCCGGGCATGGTAGCATGCATCTGTAGTTCCGGCTCCTTGGAAGGCTGAGGCAGAAGGATCGCTGGTAACCCAGCAGGTCGAGGCTGCAGTGGCCGGGAGTGTGCTACTGCACTTCAGTCTGGGTGACAGAGAGACTCCAACTCAGGAAAAAGTGTGAGGAGAAAAAAGATAATGCAATAATTGGAGACACTATATAGGGGTTTGGGAAGTCTTTTAAAACGGGAAAGGTTTGAGTAAATCTTTACTTTGTATGTATGTACGTATGTATTCATTCATTCATTCATTCGAGTTGGAGTCTCACTGCTGGAACGCAAGTGCAGCAGTCGACCTGCTGGGCTCTGGCAATCCTTCCACCTCAGCCTTCCAAGTAGCTAGAACTAAAGGCCACGCTACCATGCCCGGTTAATTTTTTGATTTTTTTATTGTAGAGATGAGGTCTCACCAAGTTGCCCAGGCTGTTCTTGAACCAGTGGGCTCAGGCAATTCACTCATCTTGGCCTCTCAAAGTGCTGGGATTACAGGCTTGAGCCACCGCACCCAGCCTTTACTTTGTATTTAAAATACTCCTTCAGACTGGGCATAGTGGCTCAGTCCTGTAATCTCAGCATTTTGGGAGACCAAAGCAAGCAGACTGCTTAAACCCAGCCTAGGAAACATAGTGGGACCTCGTCTCTACAAAAATATGGAATATAGGAGACAGGATTTGGTTGCTAGTCACGCATTTAACCTAAAGATATAAAATGCCTTGTTTTTTCTAACACAGTAGATGATGTGAAATAGTAAAAATAACCAGTTAACTTAGTTACTCAAAGTTGTTTAAGTATATGGCTCTAACAGATTAGGGGTTAAAACAATTAGTAGCCGGGCTGGGTGGCTCAGCCTGTAATCCTGCACCTTGGGAGGTTGAGGTGAGTGGACTGCCTGAGCCTGTGGGTTCGAGACCCGCCTGGGCAACTTGGTGAGACCTCATCTCTAAAACAAATCAAAAAATTAGCCGGGTGTGGTAGCGCATGCCTGTAATTCCAGCTACTCGGAAGGATGAGGCAGAAGGATCGCCGGAGCCCAGCAGGTCGAGGCTGCAGTGGCCGGGAGCGTGCCACTGCACTCTATTCTGGGCGAGGGAGTGAGACTCCAACTCAAAAAAAAAAAAAATTAGTGACCTTTCCTGAGTAATTTTTAATCTGAGATCAATTAAAAGTATATTTGTTACTTTAAAAAGAAAGAAACTTCAAATCAGCAAGAAGGTAAATTAATTAAAAAAATGCTGAAACAGTTGACTACCCATTTAGGGGAAAAAAGATGAATTCCTATCTCATCTCTTCATCAAAATAAATTGTAGATTAATCAAAGGCTTAAATAATAAAAATAAAGTCATAATAGTATTAGAAGAGCTTTAAAGAGACAAGATTCTATAGGTGAGAAAAGCACTTCTTAGCATAAGCCACACAAATCATAAAAGACATATATAAACTTTTTTATTTTTTGAGACAGAGTCTTACTCTGCTACCCAGGTTGGAATACAGTGGTGCGATCCTGGCTCACTGCACTCTCCATCTCCAGGACTTAAGTGATCTTCCTGTCTCAGTCTCCTGAGAAGCTGGGACTACAGAGGCATACCACCGTAACCAGCTAATTTTTTTTTTTGGTAGAGCAGG